AATTTTTTTGAAGTTTCGTTTAATATAGTTTTACTCGATCCATGATTTGGCTTTGTGAATTTCTGAATGCTTTGTTGTGGATATATCTAACTATTATTAAGTCGTTTTTTCTTTATTCATTTCTTTTGACGATATAGTAAATTGTTTTATGTTAGTATCCTGAAGGCGTAGGTCTTAAGAACTGAACTTAGGGTTTGTTGTCCATTAAACATGCTGGGGTATGCAAAAATAAATCCAATATTTAACAATAATTCGCCGAAAGCGAAGTGAATATCGGGGAATGATAACCGAAACGAAGTTGAGTTGAGGTTATTATTCCCGATATTCACTGAGCCTGAGGTGAATAATTGTTTTAGTATAGATACACAGGTGATTCTTTCAAAAAACAAAAGAAAGAAAGAAAAAAAAAGGAGATAAAAGGCACATTTAAAATTAGGAAACAGCAACAAAGCGGCTTGCCGCCATTTTGGATGATCGCTGGAGGTGATTATCGTGTAATAATCTGAGTTTCTCGGCCAATCAGCGCGCGAGATTTTCAATAATCATCTGTGTATTTATACTAAAACGTTTTACTCTCCTATGAAGCCAGTGTAATTCTTCAATTAATCAAGGGAAAGTCAAAATTGGCTGCGAAGCACAGACACTGGAAACCAAGTAAATACCTAGCGAATTTTTAATATCTTTGCGGCTTGACTTTGATTTGATTTATTTAATTATTGTTTGTTTTTTAGTATCATTTGGCCATTTTCCGCTCTTTCAATAATTATAAACGTTAACTATTTGTAAGACCAGATGGCTTGCTTTGTCCTCCGACAATGTATGTTCGCTTTAAAATATCACTACCAGCCTTCACTGRTAGGCATTCCTTTAAATTATCTTCAATGTGTATGAACGTTGGAAGAATATAGGTAGGTTTYGAACATTTTCAATCTTTCGACGGAATTGGTTCCTAATGTCTTGTAATCTGCGAATCATATTGAAAAWAGCCTTCCACAACATCACAAATTCAGAAAAAATGTCAATCTCTTTGATGGATTTTGTCCTATACTATATCTAAAAAAACATATGTAGATCGTTAATGCAACAGCTCCGTCAAAACCCAAGAACAGTGGCGGCTATGACACATCAAAGCCAAAATCTGGCGCATACGCAGACAAGTTTTAATCATGCTAGCATTTACATATTCCAGCATCCAGTGTTGGTCCCATGCTGTATAAAAAAGACACAGTTTACCTTGACTGACGTAACAACATTACGTAGGGAGGTAATAAAGAATTCGGTATTGTTGAATCATCGGCTACTCACCATATATGACGAGAAATGTGCATGTAGTATGTCCTTCATTTTCACATTCAACCACACAGCAATATGATCCACTTTCATTTTTATCAACATCAGGGATGATAATTGTTACATTTGATCCACCAATAACAGAGAAATGAGGAATTCCATTTTTCAATGGTGAATAATTTGGTTGATTTCGGTGTCGAGAGAATAGATGTCTATTGTTGTAATAGATTCTAGAGGAACCAAAGTCATTACATTCGTAATAGCAATTGATGTGAACAGCAGAACCGACAAGTTTTCTCGTCCTTTGCGAAGGTTGTAAAATCCAACTGAACCCATCTGTTGGACACAATGTGTAAACATTAAATAATGGGATTAACTTTGAATGTCATATTTTATTACTGGGGTACCTATGGTAGCCCAGCCGTAAAATGCATTATTTATTTATTTATTTATTTTTTTTTTTGTCCTTTTATTTTTTTTTATCTGATTCTTCCTTGACAAAATGGACTTGTACCATGTATGCATAACGGCCTCGGTCAATGGTGATCTTGATTGGTTCAGACTTCGACACCACGACAACGCGTTGTTTAAGCATATGATTGACGCTGTCATATTCTAGACTAACAGGGTCACATGACTTATCACGAGGAGTTTTAGTTACAAAACTCTATACGCCGGCAATTTTGTGATTTGTCGCTGGTTGTTGTTTTGGATTCTTCCCTGCTGAGAAAACGACTGCCATTTTGGGAATGGCTAACATGCCTTATCTGGCGCTTCATTGTGAAGCTTACGGTCGAAAGCTTGCACTACTTACTCGTCAGAGAGTTAATTGTATATTCAAAGACGAACAAAAAACGAAGAGACCAACAAGTATGATAAAATGAAAAACATTATTAATCGTGGGAAAGTAGTAACAAATGATATTTATTCTTTTGTCGATTGATGGTCATTTCAGTTTGTAGAGACCACAAACTGCTAGTCTTCATCAGGCAACATGTATATGTTCGCTAACCCTTGCAAAAGGCCTATTTTTCAAGAAAGAGGACTGAATTAAGACTCGTTTAAAAACATTCCTGAACCAATTTGCATATAAAAATTTGCTTCAAGAAACGATCAGTGATTTAAACCCTTGCATATTATTTTGGCGAATAAATGAATATTTTCTGAGCGAATTGCATTCACTTCTTCAGCCTGGTTCAGTTTCATGACAGCGGGCAAGTTTGGGCAATTTGACAAGTTTATGTGACTTGCATAACGCAACACTGTTTAGTATGGGAATAATCGCAGAGCCTGCGACTCTTTTAGAGTTACTGGCACAACACTTTATAAAGGGAGGACTGAGGAAATTCTTTTCTGTGAACCATTCCATTATCTTTTCGCCAACATTGCAAACTTCTACAGCTGTACTAGCTAGGTCGAGTCTGTGCATGATACAGGCAACCTAGTGAACACCTATGTTAACTTGTTACGGGAAAAAAATATCGCTTATTTCTTATACTCTAGTAGATATGAAGTACCAATTCTGCATCAAGTGGATTTGGATCAAGTGGATTGTGCATCCCCCCCCCCCCCCCCCCCCTCAGGTTCTTTACAGAGGTGACGTCATGTCTTACTTCCCCGTGTTTTTAGTTGGCTGGATAGCACAACATTCTAAATTTTAAGTCAAAGCTTAATCCTAATAAAAGTTTCTAATTATTCATAAAAACTACTTTCTCTTTCTCAAAGCCTTAAAGGATTAGCCTCTTTTTAGTTTATGCTTTTGTTTCAACCTAATTGAGTTCTACGGATATTGTCCTTTGTCTTACTACCGTGGGTTTTAAGTCATGTCTGTTTTTAGTTGGCTGGATTGTATTATAATTCTTGCGGCACCTGCTTGGATATTGTCCTTTTTATTGTTGAACGAAAAAACATCTTTTCCAAACAATCGATAACAAAATCCCTATTTTGAATACTGATGGTCTAAGTATTTTTCCCTAGAATGATCATTTATAAAATAGAGGACCTCTGAAGCCTAATCTTTAACGCATAAATACATTTATGCTACAAAATTTCTCTCAGGGGCTGCTATAGCGCAGGCGGTAAATCGCGAAAATTCATCTAAAGATAATAAGTTGAAATCCTAATGTTAGGTAATTATCCAAGCTCAAGACTTAGGTAAATATTACATAGTTTAGAATAAGATAAAATAGATTAAGGCTAGCGCATACCGTCCTACGCTTCAAGCAATCCCTTTTACGAAATAACATAMCTTTAATGTTTTTAGTTTTATATCTCCGTACTTGGATAAAGAAAACGCAAAGATTGTTTTATGAACTTTTTATTATCATAACTAAACAAATCTTATGTACAATGATGTTCAATACCAACACCTGCGGCTTCGAACCAAAGAACCTAATTGAATCATTCGTTATGCACTGCAGGATTTTAAGTCATAACAAGAGGTTTTAGCGTATTTGATTTTAAAGAAAGTGTATGCATTAAATTACAATCTTCGCAACGATAAAACATTTGTTTTGTATTTTTGGCACTGATAACAAAAGGGTGTGTGCAAACGTCACGCACGACTAATTCGTTCTGAGGACTGTGATAAGTTTCATGCCAACAGCAATTCGGGCATTGTGCCACTGATATCATGAAAAACGATTTGGGTTCTTGACAAGCGTGACACTCACTTTCTTYTTCATCTTCTTCGTCCTCACTCTCTGATTCTGAGTCCTCGCTGTCATGTACCTCTTTGGATTCTTCAGCATCATTGTCACTTTCATTTTCACTATTGCTAACATCCGTATCATAGTTATCTTCTGGTTGCCTGGCAATCAGATCTGCCAATAGTATTTTGTTAGATTTTGTTTGGTAGATTGCGTGATGAAGCGTGATGGTGGACGTGTGCAGCCCAGCTCTGCAATTTTTACGCTTTTCTTGGTGGCATTGCTCTTTAAATCGCCACCAAGAATTCTTAATTACAACTATGATGTGGATATTGATTTCTCGAAACATAAGAATGGTCTTGGCAGTGATTTGAGATATCTAAATGGTCTTGGTTGTGATTTGGAATCCTCGTGGTCTACATGTTTAAACTACAACCCAAAGGTCAGCGAGCGGAGACGATTCTCTAAATGTAGGACTCTATATTATGGAAATACTACTGCAACATTTGCTCTTAATCTTATCTTGCTTGCGGGGGACGTGRAATAAACCCAGGTATGAGTGAAAGTTGTTCTAAAGCGAAGAAGAAATGTCCACAGCGAAATRTACAAATTGCTCATCTTAATGTCAGATCCATCAAGAATAGAGAACATTTTGCTCTCGCAAAAGAACTGGTAATTAAGAACGACTTTGACATTTTTACTGTCTCTGAAACCTGGTTTGATAGCACTGTGCAAGATTCGGAGGTTGAAATCCATACCTATAATATCTATCGACTTGACCGTTTAAATAAACCTGGAGGGGGCGTTTGTGCCTTCGTTAAGAACTGCTACAAGATCACATGTTTATATGAATTATCAAACATCTCCAATAATGGCCTACTCCAACTTTGGCTTCAAATCCAAGCAAGAAATTGCAAATMTTTTCTTGTTTGCACCGTCTACCGACCGCCTAATGTATCCTTAAACTGCTTTGACGATGATCTCGCTGAAACGCTTACATCAGCTTTAACGTTGAACAAAGACATCTATATTCTTGGCGATTTGAACTGCAATCTTCTGAATCCTCAAGATCCTGCTTCTCTGATATTACAAGACTTTTGTTCTGCTTTTAATCTGATTCAAATAATAAAGAAACCAACAAGAATCACACAGAATTCGGCAACTTTGATCGACGTTATTTTGGCTTCTAATACCAGTTTGGTGCATAATGCAAATGTGGCGCCCTGTTCAATCAGTGATCATGATTTGATTTACGTACAGCTCCGTTTGAAGAAAGATCGACTAAAGCTGTCTACATAACAACTCGGAGCTTTAAGAACTTTGATCAAGCCACTTTTCAAAAAGATATTGCTGATGCACCTTGGTCAGTTGTTGATGTCTTTGAAGATGTGGACGATAAATTGARTGCATTCCATCAAATTTTTAATCAGATTCTTGATTGTCATGCTCCTATCAAAAACATTAAATTACGGAGTCGACCTAATCCTTATGTGAATGACGAAATTCGTTCCCTGATGAGAACAAGGGATTACTGGCAAAAACTAGCCAGAAAAACAAATGACTCATTGGCTTGGTCTGGTTATAGATTCTTTAAAAGAGAAGTTAAACGCGAATTGAGAATCGCCGAGCGGGAACATCTTGAGCAACAGATCAGAAATAATCCTAAAGATACAAGGTGCATATGGAAGACTATAAGATCGTGCATTCCTAAGAAATCAGCTGATCGAAAATCATATGTAAAAGATGAAAAACTAGTGGCTACCGAGTTTAATAATTTTTTTACTTCAGTTGGACAAAACACTATTCAAAACATTAAAACTCTGGATGAACAATGCAATTATGATCTTACTAATTCCTCTTTTGTTCCGAGGCTCTACACATCAGTACAACAATTCTCATTCACAAAAGTGGATTGCAAAGAAATTGAAAAGGTATTCGCATCAATGCCTTCTGGTAAAGCTCCAGGTAACGATAAAATTACCGCAAGAGTGTTAAAGTGCTGCCTATCATCGGGTACCTTTCCACTAATTTGGAAATCAGCAGAGGTAATACCTATCCTTAAAAATGGTGATCACGAAAAGCCAGACAATAATCGCCCGATATCGTTATTACCTATTCTATCAAAGGTTTGTGAACGAATTGCTTTGAACCAATTCGTATCATATCTTGAGTCAAATGAGCGATTATCAACAACACAAAGCGGAAACAAACAATGGCACTCAACTGAAACGTCCCTTGTACACACTACTGATGCTGTTCTTGAAGCAATTGATAAAAAGAAAACAACTGCGGTCGTCCTCTTAGATATGAGCAAGGCTTTTGACAGCATCCACCACAGTATTCTCTTGGATAAATTACGCAATGTTGGCGTTTCTATTTCTGCCCTTCAATGGTTTGCCAGTTATTTGTCTAATAGGAATCAAGTCGTGCGTGTCAATTCCACTCTTTCTGATGCGTTACCTCTGGTCAGCGGTGTTCCACAAGGGAGTATATTGGGTCCATTGCTCTTTACCATATATGTTAACGATCTTCCAACTGTTCCAAAAAACTGTTCTACTGAATGCTATGTTGACGATACCAAGATATACATGTCTTTCAACGTTAAAGATTGTCCCAATGCTGTGGCTGCTATGGATGAGGATCTGCATAGAATTCGCGATTGGTGTTTTGAGAACGGCTTATTACTTA